TAGTGGGGCTCGTGGGGGAGAAGTGGGGGGGCTTGGGCCAGCCCTGTGCGAGGGAGGAGGGTGGCTTGGGCGGGTGGCTCAGGCCAGCTCCACATAGGGACAGGGGAAAGGGGTTTGGGCTAGCGCCGTGCTGCATGGGGAAATGGGAGCCGCCTCAGGTCAGCTGTGTGCCACATGGCGGGGCCCCTCAGGCCAGCTCCACATCACGTGGGGGAAGGGGAGCCCCTCGGCCAGCTCTGCGCAGGGCTTGGGTGAGCGGCTCCACACAAGGGGCGAATATGCTTACCCTACCACAGGCTCCATCTTCCAGCCTGGCCACAGGGTGGGGCTTCAGGGGGAAGAAGAGGAACAGGGCAGTGGGGCATCACTTAGCGAAGAGGAGCAGGGGCCTGGTTCTGGTGCTCCTGCAGGGCCCCCAAATTGGCCGGGGCCCCTGGGCACAGGGCCCGTTGGCCCATGTGATAATATGCCACTGGCTGGAGGATTTTATGTGTATTTACCTGTTTCCATAGGCTCTGTTTCAGAAAATGTGGTTTTTAAGAAGTAATACACGCAGAACTGAAACTATGGTATTTATACAATTTGACATTTGCTTGATTGATATGTAAACACTAAAACTCCCAAATAAACTATTTGACAAAACAAAACAACCAAAAAAAAACAACCCCAGTTATGTGTGTAAAGTAATGTAAACAATTTCAGTAACTTCTTACTTAAAGATAAAAATGCATTTTTAAAATTTTATGCAGTGATTATTAGGTGATATTGAAAACTAAGGCCATGTCTACACTCATGCCGCACTTAGTATATTGCTTATGCGTATGCATACTTGGCTCCTTCTGGCGGCCGTGTGCATACTCACCAGGAGTGCTAGTATTGATGTAGTGTGTGCATCATGGGTAGGTATCTCACTGTGCAACTTGCCACCACTGGGATACTCAGGATCTCTTTTAATGTCAACAACATCAGTTGCTCAGGCGCACAGAGGTGAGTGTTGCCTGCTACCAAGTAACCCAGGGAGGAAAGGGGTGGGGGTTTACACACACTTACAAAAGGTTCCTTCCCCTGCATTGGGCCCACCCATGCTCGCCTGGTGGGACTGGCTGGACTGCAGGGGAGTTAAAAACAGATCCTGACTCACTGCATCCGGTTCCCCTGGTTGCCTGTCTTCCATACACCTCCTCCTCCCTGTTCACGGCAGGGACCTGTGACTCGGGCTCTTTGGAGGTATCAGTGCTGTTGGGGTGGTGGTGGGGTCTCTGCCAAGTAGGGCATGCATCTCTTTGTAAAAGCAGGCAGGTTTGCATTCTGGTTGTTGGCCTCCCTAGCCTTCTGGTATGCCTACCAAAGCTCCTTGGCTTTCATGCAGCATTGCTGGTCCCTGTTGTAGCCCCTGTCCTGAATTCCCAAGCAATATGCTCATAGATATCTACCATTCTATGGCTGGAGATCCAATACCTCCTGACTGCGCATCTGGAGCATGTAGCTGGAATGGTCAGCTGGGCAGTTGAATTTAACAGTGGAGAGCTGCTAGGTGTGCTCACCAAGCCAGGCAATCAGGAAAAGGAATTTCAAAAATTAACAGGGCTTTAAAGAGGGGGAGGAAGAGGCTTCCAGTCTCTGTGACCTTTGGCAGTGGAGTTCACAGTGGTGACCAGAGCAGTCAGCACTGGGCATTGTGGAACAGCTGCTGGAGGACACTAATGGTCGACTTAAGTAATGCAGTATCTACACTCACACTGCGTTGACCTAAGTACCTGGCTCTATATCACTTGGGGACGTGGCGTTATTAAGTCGGCGTCAGTGGCGTAGCCAGCTTCTAAGACGAGGGGGAGCAAATATAAAAAAGGCTCCCCCCCTTGGCTCCTCCTCCAGCCATGCCCCCTTGGCTCCTCCTCCAGTCGCCCTGCTCCTCCCTCCCATGGCTCCTCCAGCCCTGCCGTGCCACCCCCGTGGTCCCCCCCCCCTCGCTCCTCCGGCCGCAGCTGCCGGCCGCTATGCTGCGCCCCCCCGCTCCTCCGGCCGTGCCTGCCGCCCCACCATGGCTGCCGGCCATGCTACGGGCCGCCAGCCTGTGCCTCCCCCTCGCTCCTCCGGCCGCGGCTGCCGGGCCGTGCTGCGGGCCGCATGCTGCGTCCACCCCCGCTCCTCCGGCCGCTTTCGGAAAGGCGGGGGAAGCGGCTGTTTCCCCTGCACCCCACTAGCTACGCTACTGGTCGGCGTAATGGGGCTCTTATGTTGGTGGGAGCCAAATTTAAGTGTAGAGACATGCACAACTAGGTCAACATAAGCTGCCTTGTGTTGACCTAACTTTGTAGTGTAGACCAGACCTAAGTTTTCTACAGCAACACAAGATAAAAAAGGAAAATGTTGCAATGAGTCATAGAAGGTGATTCATTCTATAACACAACAACTGTCTTTTGTTCTACATCTGCAGAAGTGTTAACTGCCCACTTCACTTTGAATGGTCTTTTACAACAATCTGTTCCTCTTTGTATTTAGCTGACACACTCTGGATATGTCTACTTAGCAACTGACACTTGTGGCTGGCCTGTGCCAGCCAGCTCAGGCTCACAGGTAGGGTGACCAGACGTCCCGATTTTATCGGGACTGTCCCAATATTTCCTTGTTTGTCCCGCATCCTGAACGATGTGCGGTCGGGACACTGGACAAACAAGCAAATACTCCGGAGCCCGGAAGTGCTCGCGCCCCCGCCCCAACTCCGCCCCATCCTCTCCCCATTGGCTCCCTCCCCGAATCCCCGCCTCTTCCCCAAACTCGCCCTTCCTCCTCCCTCCGCAAGCTCTGGAGGGAGGCCCTGGAAACGCAGGGGAAGCGCAGGGCCAGGGTTGGCACGTGCCCAGT